CCACCTGCAATGCCAGCATCCAATATGAGTGCTGCTTTGAGATGCAGCTACTCCTCTTCCAATCTAGTTCCCTGCTAATTCGCCTGGGAAATCAGCAGAAGACAGGTCCAAGTGCTTGGGCCCGTGCCCCATGTTGGAGATCCAGAAAAAGCTCTTGGCTCCTGGTTTAGGCCTGGTCCAGACCCAGCTGTTGCAGCTATTTGGAGAGTGAAGCAGCAGAGGGAACATCTCTGTCTCCTCTCGCTGTGTAACTCTTTCACATAAATAAATAAATCTTTCTTTAAAAAAAGTTTTGTAACCCAGTTGTTAGCAGTAACTTACTCTCTTTAACTCCATCACCAACATTTAAAATTGTAGTTAGTTTTAAAGCCTTAGAATTTTTACACACCCACAAAGCAAGTCACTAAAGCAAGATTCAGGGTGGCTGAAAGGTATTCTGTTCTTTTAACTAGTGGAGAAGGGTGATTGGGAGTGGGGAGGTGGAAAAGAGACAAGGCAGATCCAATTTAGTGAAGTATTTGTAGAAACCAAGAATCCAGGGAAAAATTCTCTAAAATCTATTTTCCCTTCCATATTTCTTGGAAAGTGTTGTGAAAGTTTATATACTTCAGTTTAAAAACCATTGTGCTAAGTATCTGGACACAGTAAGAGAATGCATTACTTACAAAAAGACCTTAACAATAACGCAGAGAATTCAAGAATCGCAAATTTATCTCAATCTTCTCAACTGCCTGGATTCACTCCAAATGTAGGGATAGCTGAGCCTGGGACAGCTATAGCAAGGGTTAAGGAGAAGGTGCCAACAAAAAGGAAGAGATGTGAGTGATCTTTATGAGCCAAGAAGTTTTGCTTTTATGACTCTGCCAGCACATATCTCCTTGTTTTTGTTAATGGAATTCTTTTTTTAAAAAAATATTTATTTAAGAAGTAGAGTTACAGAGAGAGAGGGAGAGACGGGACAGAGTTCTTCTATCCACTGGTTCAGTCCCCAAATGGCCACATAGCCCAAGCTTTGCTGATCCAAAGCCAGGAGCCAGGAGCTTCTTCCATCTCCCGCCGCAGGCGCAGGGGCCCAAGCACTTCTGCTGCTGCTTTCCCAGGCCATAGACAGAGAGCTGAATTGGAAGAGGAGCAGCTGGGACAGGAGCCAGCCCATATGGAATGCAAGCGCCTCAGGCGGAGGCTTAGTCCACTACGCTGCCGCTGCCGTTGCACCAGCACGGTGCCAGCCCCTAAAGGAATCCTTATATCCCCTTAAGGTTTGAATTGGCTCTGGGTCAGAGAGAAACAGAAGGTCCTCATGTTTCCTCACTGAGGAATTCTGTAAATTTTTTTTGCCACAACCAAAGCTGAGGAAAGCAAAGATAGGAAAGCTTCTGGGTTTGTTTTGTTTTGCTTTTTCACTTTAATATGAAAATAATTGCCTCTACTCTTGGAGACCTGGTTTAATTAGACTAATCTGATTTTCCACTGGCAAAACTAACACTAAAATGGTATTGCTCTTGAGTTCTCTGATTATAGAATCATCACACTTTTCCTTAACAGACACTAAAATCAAATGCTATAATGTTGGATGAAGTAATTGTGAACAGCTCGTTATAAGGACTATTTTGAGCTACCACATGAATTTCAGTGACTATTATGCAGTGAAAGGAAGCAACACATACAAAGTTTACAGCATAAAAATATGAATTGCTACTATAATTTATCTAAATAGTGATGAGGTTCCAAAAGTTATTTCATAAGATGTATGTTCGCCAAAGATAATCTGCATTCTTCTACCTCCAAACTCCAACATCTCAGCCCTTGCCCCGGCTTCTCCTCCGTTAGCCAACCCCTTTTTCATTTTCTCCCCTGATAGACTCTCACCAGTATTCTCAGCTCCCTCACACCCTTGAACTTCTGCTTTTATCCATTATGCCAAATCCCAGCCCGGAGTCAACCAACCATCTCTTCTCTCTACTACTGCTTCTAGTTTGCCAATTACTGCTACAGAAAAACTGTCCAACTGGTGATTTGTGCCATGTAAAATCGGCAATTTCCAACCTCATCTTGACCCATATCACTACTTGGCAGTCGTTCATGCCTGCCTGGTTGGGGTCTTTTTCCACTGCCCAGGTGTGCTATTCTCAATCTCTAGTCATCACTCTTCAGAAGTCCCTACCATACCTCCTCAATCAATAGAGGCCTAACTTCTACTTCAAGAAAACAGTGCCTAATGTCCCTCTCTTCCACTTTTTCTACTCATCTATAGCTTCACTCTCTCATCCCTCTGTTCCAGAGGGTAATGTTGAGCATCATTTATTCCTTCTTAGGACTGGTTTTGTCTCTTTCACTTCTAAGCTCTTCACTGTAGTGTCTGTGTACAATATTATAAGTCAGATTTTCTCCTTGGAAGTCACATTCCAAGTTAAAGACATGGGCGTCGGAATGTGAGGAAATAAAAGTTGCTGATTGGTTACCGAACAGGCCACATCAGAATAGCAAGTGTTCTTTCTCTTTGAATCATTTACAACAAGGACAGAAAGGAAGGTGAGTTGGGATACTGCCTACCCATTAAGTGTTTTAAAATTCTATCATAGTTCTGCCAGCCAAATGTCACAACATGAAATTTAAAGAGGTTATGCTTTAGTGATCAATGCCATTTTTGTCCTCCACTATTTGCTGCCACCTGCCACAAACACAGTTTCAGATGCTATTAATAATAATTAGTGCACCCAGTTCCTTCTTTTAACTCTGAGGAGTTTGCTCAACCCCATTCAATCCAAACCTTTCATGGATATTCCTAGTGCAACCAATGTGAATTATGGTTGACATGATAAGACCGTTCTAATTTAATAGCATGTTGTATTAGTTATCTAGCACAACTTAGAAATGATACATGTAAATACTTTTTAGTAAAAGTATTTGTACAGACTATCTAAAAAGAAGTTTTTAAGAATATATATTTATATTCATGTACTTGAAAGAGCATCAGAGAGAAAGAGAGAGAGAGAGACCTTACATTTGGATTTACTCCCCAAATGCCTACAACATTCAGGAATGGGGCAGTCTAAATCCAGGAGCCAGGAATTCCATCTAAATCTCCATGTTGGTGGCAGGGACTCAAGTATTTGGGCCAGTATCTGCTGCCTCCCAGGATGCATTAGCAAGAAGTTGGATTAGAAGTAGAGCAGCCACGACTTGAACCAGTGATTCGGGTATGGGATGTAAGCATCCCAGGTAGTGACAACCCACTGTGCCACAAAGTCTGCCCATAAGAAGTTTTGGTGTGGGGGATACCTAGGAGGGAAAGATCCAGGTTTTGTAGGACTATAAGCATACACATTTGCACATTTGGAGAATACTCTTAAAAAAAAAGAAAGAAAAGAAAAATATAAATTTATAAATACAAAATGAGGTTCTGGCCTTTTGGGACAAAAACTCTGAAAATGAAGGGTTCTGAAGTTTAAGCTTCATTAGTGTCACATAAATCACCCTTTTTTTATTTTTAATCTGACTGCTGAATTGGGTCATTAAACAATGCTGAGACCAAAGCCAACCAAACAAAAATTCACTAAAATGTGAACACCTAACATGAGCCATGCACTTTACATAGTATTATATTTCACCATCACAACAAACCTATCGAATCAGTACTACCAGTCTCGTTTATAAAAAGTGGAAACTGAGGCTCAGAGATTTTAGTCACTTGCTCAATGGCAGTTCACTTCTCACAATGAAGCCAAAATCCAAACCAAGTTCTGACAATGTAAATTTTGTGTTATTTCTATATTACTTTGCTTTTAAGGTTTCCCAAAAGATAAAAGTGTTTAAGCTACTTTGGAGAACATCCCAACAAAATGCAGGAATGTTCAGTTAAAATTAAAATTGACAAGACTCACACTTGAGAGTTTTCCTAAGAATATCGCTCTACCACTCTAAAACTGTGTTTAAATGATGTTAGAGACAATTAAATTAAGTTCTTGGCCCCAACTCTGACACAGCCCGAACCCCAGCCCCAGCCTCAGTCACTGTGGCCATTTGGGGAGTGAACCAATGGATGGGAGCATCTCTCTTCTTCTTTGTTTCTCTCTCTCTTTCCCTCTCAAATAAGTAAAATACCAATTTACAAAAATTTTAATAAAAAAATAAGGGCATGAAAAACAAATGTATAACTCTTTGGATTATCTTCTACTCATTAAATGACATGATGATGATTTCAGGGCCCAGAAAAAAAATGTAGTTCTAATAAAAAGAGGAAAATAGAAGCAGAATCAATTTGAAGGTAAACCTAGAATTACAGACTTCCTGGCTATGGAGGGACATATTGACAGTATGGATCTTTCTCAAATTATATTCTCTTGCTACATGCCTAATATTTTTTACCTTGACATTATTCTCTAACATGTTTTAAGGGTTGGAAAATAATGACAATGCCTTGTATATTATGTTAGTCTATTCTATCTATAGACCTTTGATCTCTATTTATTTAAATGTCATTTAGAAGCGGTCTTTCCTCCTAAAATCTCCAGAAGGCAGGTGCTTTGTCTTTATCTTTTCCTCATTTACAGACTCCAAAGCTCTGCCCTACAGATAGTAGGCATGCCCCAGAGGGATGTATGTCACAGTGTTGATGAGTTTTTTTAAGGAAGCTTTTATTTGATGAATACAAATTTCATAGGTACATTTAGGAATAGAGTGGTTCTTCCCCCAATACCTGCCTTCCCACTCCCACCACCATCCCACCTCCTACTCCCTCTCCCATCCCATTCTTCATTAAAATTTCATTTTTAATTAACTTTATATACAGAAGACTAATGAGTTATTTTTGACAAGCCACCATTTTCTAAGACTATAGAAATCCTATAACATAGATATGCTGCAATTCTATTCAATTCATTCACAGACTTCAGATTTAGAGTTTTAGGATTTGTGTAAAGCTAAGGCAAGAACTGATCAGAGCAGTTAGTATTTTTAGACAACAAGCTGTCAATGATGCTGGAGTTACTTAAAATACCTGCTGATGTTGTGGTCTTAGGGCCATTGTGACCTCAAGCTGTAACTAAAATCAGTCCAATGCAACAGGAGTTTCAAGAACAGCAGCTCAAAAATGAGGACTTAACTGGATGGCAAATTAAGGCACATATTTTAAAGAGGCCTCTTTATTCTTAGAGAAGACATTTCCATTCAAGATGACAAGCGGTGCAAGCTCTTCAGGATCTTGCTTGCCCTCAAAAAGGTGAGTCTTGCGTGGCCATTGCTAAATGGGAACTACCCAGGAGGGAGATGAGGCTCTTTCTCTACTAGCCCAGGCTAAAGGCTGGTGTCCCTTCCCCCAGAAGCTCTAAAATAGATGACAACTACTTGAAGGAATTGAATGAGGACTTAAAGCTAAGGAAGCAGGAACTGCTGGAGATGCTAAAACCTTTAGAAGACAAGAACAACCTCTTGTTCCAGAAGTTGATGTCCAACTTGGAGGAAAAACAAAGAAGGTAAGGGCTCTGCACTCAGGATTCCTAGAGTTAGAAAGCCTCCAGGACTTAAACTCCATAAGCTTGGCAATGATCATTTACATTGTTGGGTTCTGCTTTGTTTTCTTAAAAAAGTCTGGACCCTTAGCTTCGGTAGGTAAAGAATTTGTAAACACAAAATCAAAGTGAAAGGAGTTTTCAGGTTTTTTGTTTTGAATATGACTCAGCCCTCATCTCAAAGGGCTACAATTATTACTCTTCCCCCTAGCGTGCCCACCTCAGAAACACGTAAGAACCTTTAGTCACCTCAGTGTCCCGTGGTTACACTGATTGTTTCCTTATTCATGTTTGTAGAATCACTTTAGGATAAATGACTCTACTTTTTCTCTGCTGAGACGTGAAATATGAAATTTTTTTCTGACCCTAGCAGCCCTCTGGGTTGTGGTCCAGCCATTCTAAACATACAAGGCAGTTGATGTCATAACTACTAGAGTTCTTATTGCTCTTAAACTCATCAATTCTCACTCCTTTCTAGTCTCAGAAGATTTCACCTCAGTTGCTCTACTTTTTGTGAACATTCTTGTCATAAGCATCTTAAGGGACTCAGAGTTTTGGAGAACAAAAACTAAGGCAAAAATGTGTGGTCAAGCACCAGCTGCTTACAATCCAGCAACACAGACTTCCCTCAGGGCAAGAAAACACAAAAGCCTAGACAACTGCTGAGACATGGGGGGAAAAAGTACAAGGCACACAAATACAAAACAATACCTTTTAAATTTTATTTATGTATTAAAGAGAGAGAGAGAGACAGTCTCAGTTGCTAGTTCACTCCCCAAATGCCCATAGTAGCCAGGGCTGAAGCAGGCCTAATCTAGGAGTGAGGAACTCCATCCAGGTCTCTCACATAAGTGGCAAGGACCCAACCACTTCCAATCAAAGATTGCACATAAGCAGGAAGCTGGATTTGGGAGCAGAGTCAGGCATGGAACCCATACATCATGACATAAGATATAGGCATCCCAACAAAGTATTGTAACAGATCAAACACCCATCCCATACATTTATACATTTAAGGGATATCCTATTTCACAAAGAATTGGTATTGACTGCAATTTTGTTAGAAACCTCTTTATAACTTTAATTCTCTAGGGACTACCACAAGGATATAAGTGGTTTCTCCCCTAAAACTCAAATATCTTTATTTGGAGAACCAAGGGAGTTACAAGGAGATGGACAGACAAGGAAATGGAGTAACTCTGAGATTTATCCTGGACATCAGATTCTTCAACCTCCTCCTTTACAGGGAAGAACCAAAAGTCATACACCAAAACATTCTTCTGAAGGAGTAGAAAGGAGTATCATTACCTGTGGAGACCTAGGAGCACGAAATGCATTACTGAGCAGACAGCTAAGATGAATGTCAATTAGGAATGGAATCATCCTACTCACAGAGACACTGCCATGTCCAGAACTTCCATAACTCCCTAGATTGCAGCCTTCACCCATTGTCTTCCTGACTGTTGCATAATGCTAATATTACTGTTTTGGAGATATGTAATTTTATGATGTCTCTTTTCTAGTTTGCAGATCATGAGGCAGATCATGGCAGGGAAGGGGTATGATGAATCCTCAGTTATGGAGCTAATTAAAGAAGCAGAGGAGATGAAACAGAACCTGGTAAGATGTTAATGGTGGTCCAGGGAACAGCCTCCTGCACAGGACTCAATTCCATTGCTGCTGTTGTCAGATATGGGTGGAAGACAAAGTATTCATCTCTAGCAACTGATGCTCCAACACATTTATGTCCTTGGTCTACAAAGTCCAGTGTGATCCAAAGAAGTAAGATGGAATGTTGGGAAGAACAGGACTAGCTAGTAAAAATTCATATTTTTTTGACTTTAAAAACTTTTTCGTCTAGGGGTTAAAGAATATAGGCATGTTATCCCTTATCATTTAAAAAAGAATAAAAAATATCAATCAAAGTGCAAATAAGGAAATAAAATTAGACATTAGTGGGCTTGTTACTGGTGAATGGCAGGGTTCTTGTCTTCACACAAGAAAGAATTCAGGCGTGAGACAGAACGGTGGAGAGTAAGTAGCAAAATTTATTAGGGAAGGACATCCGCAAGAACGGATGGGCACCTCTCCAGACAGAACCCGAGAGAGAGTGCCCAGCTGTTCGGACTGGGGGGAGGAGCAAGGTTACATGGTTGAGTGGAGAGATTACACCTGGGCAGGCAGGCCGGCGACCCAGCATAGAGGCAGAGGGCTGAGAGGCCGGGGGTTTTTAAGGAGATAGGTCTTTGTCTTCACACATAACCTCCTGAAACAAAAGACTTTATGGATCTAAATAGAAAACTTCAGGGAGAAAACTCAGATAGGAGTTTATCAGACAGGGGAAGTCTGGCTGGCACCTTCCCTGTTAGAGGAAGAGCAGGGAGGGCATTTGAAGTGCAGATACTGGGCTGTACCTGGAAAGTTATCAGGCAGAAGGGGAGGGGACCCCTACCTGGCAGGTTATCAGGTAGAAGGAGCAGGGCAGGATGCAAATACTGGGCTGCCCCTGAAACATTACTGGGATGACTTTGAGATGCACATGCTGGACCCAAATGTCTCCTTAGGCCTTTGTCACACACACATAAGCTCATATCTGACTTCCTACCTAACAGGCCAACCTCCAGAGAAATTTTTCTAAGTTAGGAACTTATGTGTTTTGATATCATCTCACATCACTGTAATTAAACTTATTTTTCATAACAGTAACTTGCTAAATTTTTTTTGTCATTATCTTCATTAAACTCACTGCTCATGTTCCTGGATTTTGCCTTCCTCTGTGGTTTGCTATATCCCTGCACCCCTTTCCCATCATTGTCTTAGTAATTTCTTCCAACTTCACTCTAGTGGCTGAACAAACACATGTTTCTGTTTGTTTGGTTCTTTCTCCCTCCAACAGGAAAGGAAAAACAAGATGCTTCGGAAGGAAATGGCGATGCTATGGAACAAGGTGTGCCTCTAAGGATCTCCTGAAAGTATTATCCTGCAGATCACCATGCAAAGAATCCCCCTTTCCTGAGGCCCCTTCCCCCCACCCCCCGTCCCTGTTTCTACCCATGCCTCATTCCAATCTACTCTTCACATAACATCCAAACTGCTCTTTTTAAAATAATCAAAACATGTCACTCTTCTTATGAAAACCCTTTTCAGCCACTCACTACTGTGGTACAATCTGGTTTGTAGCCACCTCTCAAGTCTCCTCTCCTAGAAGCCCTCCCCTTGCTTTCTAGGAAACCACACACTGGATGCCTTGTGGTTTCTCAAACAGGCCAAGCCTTTTACTGTCTTAAGGCCTTTGCTGTTGCTTTACCCCCTGCCTGTCTGTAATGCTAGTTCCTTGTGGTTGGCTCATTCTCTTCCTTCAGGTCTCAGTTTAAATGTCACCTCCTCAGAGAGGCCCTCCTACTTTCCTTTATACAGCTCTGCTTCTGTCTCCCATAGCAGTTGTCATATATGAACTTACTATTTGTGAATTATTAATTTTTCACTCATGTCTTATCTCCCTGTTCCTTTCTGGAATACAAGTTCCTCTAATGTCTTGATTGCTTTTTCTGACTCCCTAGCACCTAACACAGTGCTTGGAACATAGCAGAAAATCAATAAGTCTAAGCTGAATTAATGAACAAATGATACCCAATTCTAATTTCCCTGATTTTACAATGATGACCAAATTGTTTAAGATAATGATATTAGAGCCTCCAGCTGGGAAAACAAGGGATGAGGGGGAGAATTCCTTTGTGGACTAAGCCCTTGAGACACCAGTGTTTTTTTTGCACATTATGAAGTTAGAGGAGTGAATTGTGTTTTCTGATAGAAACAGGTGTGTGATATGATCTCTGGCTGCTGTTTTCAGTTCACCTTTCCACCAAAGATCAGGATGCCTTCAAGCCCTGCATCTTGTACTGAGATTCACTTCTGGTTCTCAGTAGCAGCTACAAATCACTTCTATGAGTTGTCAGTGTTAGTTCTCAAGTTCTTGACTCCTTGTGGTAAGAAAGGTACCAGCACAATTCTCTATCAAAATTCACCTTCTCCAGAGCTCCCAAAAGACTTTTTATAAGGGATGTCCTAACACCTTAGCTTGTGACCAACTTTCCCTACCCATTCAGAAGGCTTAAAAACATTAACAGGAAATTCTCATTATCTTTCAATTTCACTTCCACAAACTTTTTGAGTAGCCTTGATTTTTTTTTTTTTTTTTTTTTGACAAGGAGAAATAGGAGAGCAGCTTGCCTAGTGACTAAGAACCCAGGCTTCAGAGTAAAAAAGATCTAGTTCAAATTCCAACTCTGGGGGCAGGCAGGCATTTGGCATAGCAGTTAAGGTGCTGCTTGGGATGCCTGCACCACTGTGTCATGGTGCCTGGGTTTGAGTCCTGGCTCTGCTTCTGATTCTAGCTTCCTGCTAAGGCACATGCTAGGAAATAGCAGATAATGGCTCTCTGCCATTCACATGAGAGATCCAGATTGATTTTCAGGCTCCTGCCTTTCGCCTGGCCTAGCCCCAATTATTGTGAGCATCAGGAGAGTAAACCAGTGAATGGAAGCTCTTATCCATCTGTCTCTGTTTCTGTCTTTCCCTTGGTGTCGTAAAATTTTTAAAATTTAGGTTGTATACATTATAAAATTGCAGCTCTGCACTTTTTTAGCTGTCTCATTCTAAACAAAATACAATCTCTTAAAGTCTGTTTTCTCATCTATAAAACAGAAATCAAATAGTCCTCAAAGAGTTGTTAGGCTTAAATGAGAATGGAATGTAGTAGAATTGTGCAAGTAATGTAGAAAGTAGCTTAAAGTGTCATATAATAAAGGTTAAGTTAATGACTTATTATTAGAAGGTTCATTTAAGAGATGAAGTGGAAGGGTTCATCCCCCTTTGTTAGCAGACTTTTCCTGTAAGGCTCTGAGAAGTTGCTGATTGGCAGGAACCAAAAGCATTTGCCCATTTTGGTTTTCCACTTCCCTCACATTAATTCCCACTAATTTAAAGCTTCACCGAAATGTCTCTCCACAGACATTTGAGACAGAAGAACTCCGTGATCAACAAAAAGCACCACAGATAAAAACCAAGGAAGACTTTGAGGATGAAAAGGTAAGTGGACTGCATGTGCTTAGCATTTCAGGATTGTTGGTATAATGCAACAGGAACCATCCTATTGACAATCAGAGCTATTTTGGGAGGGCAAATAGGTATGGTCTGGGCAACTAGGGTAGAGTATGTCGCCTCTGTGGTCTGCCCAGCATTGCACTTTTCTCCTGGGACCTCCTATTCCTTTAGCTTTCTTCTTTTTTCCCAGGCTCCCAAATCCCCCTCGTCACCTAGGAGGACCAAGAATGAACTGGAGGTATCATTTGCAGAGAAAGTGAAGGAGATAAAGAAGGTAATACAACCATCTTAATGATAGTAGCTCTCACAGCTGTAAATAGATAAATTAGACATTTTTAATGCAGCAGTAATCTGCCTAAGCTATGATATGCTCTTGAATCATTGCAAATTTTTATAAGTAATCTGCTTCCTCTAGGAAATTATATTTGAGTTAGACTGACATTATAAGTTTCTGGAAAATTATGTTAGGGCAAAGTAAGAGAAGCTATACCAACAATTCCAATTCTGCAATAGCTATGTGATACCAGCACACTTGTTAATTCACTTTTGAAAATTTATTTGAAAGTATTTGCTTATATCTAATCTTCCCATAAGCAACTCATTCACAGAAAATAACCCTATTCATTTAACTTTTAGAGAGTGGACTGTACAGGTGATGTCAATTAAGAGGATTATAGAAGGCTTTTTTAAAGTGTTTTTTTTTTTTTTTTTTTTTTTTTTTTTTTTTTTTTTAAAGCAGAGTGAGAAGGAGGGAGGGAGGGAGGAGAGAGAGAGAGAGAATCTTCCATCCTCTGGCTTACTTCCCAAATAGCTGCAATGGCTGGGGCTGGGCCAGGCTAAAGCCAGGAACCCAGAGTTCCAAGTACCTGGAACATACCCCACTGCCTTCCCAGGAGCATTAGCAGGGAGCTGAATTGGAAGTGGAACAGCCAGAACATGGACTGGTTCTCTGATATGGGATACTGATGTTATAGCAGTCACTTAACATGCTGTTCCACAATGCTGGCCCAAGGACTGTACAGCTGAAACTGATTTAATAGTGAATTTATGACATCATACTTTTGTAAAGGTTTTTCAGCATTTTAAGAAAACTGATTTCTGATCTTGATTTACTTTGTCACCCAGAGGCTCTTTCTTCCACCAGGAAAAGCAACAGAGGAAAATGGAATGGGTCAAGTATCAGGAACAAGCCAACATCCACCAGGTACTAAGGTCTTCCAAGGCTGGATATAGGATATGATTTCATTCATACAAAGAAAAGCTTTTAGCTTCATATTGTTAAAAACCAATCCTTTCGCCGGCGCCGCGGCTCACTAGGCTAATCCTCCGCTTTGCGGCGCTGGCACACCGGGTTCTAGTCCTGGTCGGGGAGCCGGATTCTGTCCCGGTTGCCCCTCTTCCAGGCCAGCTCTCTGCTGTGGCCAGGGAGTGCAGTGGAGGATGGCCCAAGTGCTTGGGCCCTGCACCCCCTGGGAGACCAGGAGAAGCACCTGGCTCCTGGCTTCGGATCAGCGCGGTGCGCCGGCCGCGCCGGCCATTGAAGGGTGAACTAACGGCAAAGGAAGACCTTTCTCTCTGTCTCTCTCTCTCACTGTCCACTCTGCCTGTCAAAAAAAAAAAAAAATCCTTTCATCCTATATCACCAATTATCCTGCTAAAAGAAATGTGTTATCAAGAAATGGCAAAACAAACCTGTCTCTGGCTCCACCTTGAGTGACTTAGAATATATAGTATTTCTTCCGAGTTGAAACGGGGGGGATGGAACCACATACACTTTTTCTCAGCCTTTAAATATTGTTTAATTATTTATTTGAAAGGCAGAAGGAACAGAGACAGTGAGAAATCTTCCATTTGCTGGTTCATTCCCCAAAAGTCTACAACAGCTGGAGCTGGGCCAGGCAGAAGCCAGGAGGCTTGAACTCCATCTAGGAGTTCACATGGGTGGCAACAACTCAAGTAGTTGGGCCATCATCTGCTGCTTCCCAGGGTCTGCATTAGCAGGAAGCTCAAGTAGAAGTGGAGCCAGGACTAAAACCAGGCACTCTGATATGGGATGTGGATGCATCAATGGGAGTCTTAACCACTGCACTAAACACTCACCTCTGCCCAGCCTTTATAGATCAAACTCGATAGGATATTTTTCTTTGACTTTTGAGTGAAGAATATTCAAGTAACACTGAGTTTAGATATCAACACTATCTGAGTAAGTTTTAAAAATATCCTCTTTTGGCCGGTGCCGGGGCTCACTTGGCTAATCCTCCGCCTGCAGCGCCAGTACCCCGGGTTCTAGTCCCAGTTGGGGCGCTGGGTACTAGTCCTGGTTGCTCCTCTTCCAGTCCAGCTCTCTGTTGTGGCCAGGGAGGGCAGTGGAGGATAGCCCAAGTGCTTGGATCCCTGCACCCAAATGGGAGACCGGGAGAAAGCACCCGGCTCCCTGGCTTCAGATCAACGCAGCACCTGCCGTAGCGGCCATTAGGGGAGTGAACCAGCAGAAGGAAGACCTTTCTCTCTGTCTCTCTCTCACTGTCTATAACTCTCTCTCTGTCTCTCTCTCACACTAACTCTGCCTGGCAAAAAATAAAGATAAAAATCCTCTTTCAGAATGACTTTCATGGCAAAGTGATCGAGCTGAGAATTGAAGCCTTGAAGAACTATCAGAAGGCCAATGATCTGAAATTATCACTATACTTACAGCAAAATTTTGAGCCAAAGCAAGCATTTTTAAATATTCCAGGATTCCAAGGTAGGTATAGTGTCATCAATATGCAGTTTGCGGTTTTGTCTGGCTTGTCGTACATTGGATACCCGGATACCATATTACTTGCAAAGTGAGCAATACAATGCCTGGCAAATATGTTAGGTTTTTTTTTTTTTTTCTATCTTCATTATTGTTAATACTCAAAAGTTGTCATATCCAAGGTAAGGGTCCTCTATGGAGAAAATTGTTTGCCTTGATAAAGTAATATTTCATATACTTAGTGTATGTAGCTGATAGAGAGTTGGCACCCAATAAGACATTAGTTCACTTCTCACTTTCTCCCCTTTCCTAGGAATTAGAGTTGTTTGATCTCATGAATCTTGTTGGAATTGATTCTACTACTTCAGAGACATTTCACAATGGCTTGTGAATTTCACCAATCCCTTGTTCCTCTGGGAGTTTCAGAGATATCACTCAAAGAATTTGTAGCATCACTAGAGGAAATCATGGTGTTTTTCCCCATAGAAGATAGAATAAAGGAATGGCTCTGAGAGGCAGGGAGAGAATTTTCAAGTATATATGTATCTGAACTTTGTATGAGGGTACTTCAAAAAGTTCATGGAAAAGGAGTTAAAAGGTTTATTTTGATGCAAGCAATTTTTGAAATCCATAATTTTTAATGTTTTTCATGAACTTTTGGAAGATACCTTGTATGCAGAAAGTTTTTACATCAAAATTATTTTTAATTCCACTTTCCTTTAACTTTTTGAAGTATCTCTATTTTTAAAGGTGGATATGCAGTGAGAATTCACGACGAAGGGATAACAATGTTATCAGTATCAGTATGTATATCTCTAATTTCCTCCTCTTATTCCGTGAAGAGATTGAACAGCTTATAAGTCACACATAGGGGTGGGCATGATGGCACATCTCTGCTTGGGATGCCCACATGCCATATCCAAGTGCCTGGGGTAGGGTCCTGCCTTCACTTCCAATCCAACTTGATGCTCATGTGCACCCTGGGGACCCAGCAGATGATGACTCGGTGCTGGGGTCCCCACCACTCAGGTGGAAGACCTTGATGGACTTCCTGTCTTGGATTCAGTCTGGCCAAGCCCTGGCTATTGAGGGCTTCTGGGAGAGTGAACCAATGGATAAAAAAATCTCTCTCATTCTCTATCCTGTCTCTTGACCTTTTAATAAAAACAAAATAATTTTTTCTTAAAAAAAAGTTACATGGGGGATGGGTTTTGACCTATCAGTTGAAATGCTGCTTGGGATGTCCGGAGTGCCTAGAATCAGTTTCCTAGATTGGAGTCCTGGCTCTGCTCCCAGTTCTAGCTTCCTGCTGATGCCCTGGGCTGGGTGGTGGTTTGTGGGTGAAGCCTCAGATCATGGGGTCCCTGCCACCCACATGGGACCTGGTTTCAGCTTGGTTCACTCCAGCTGTTGCAGACGTTCAGGGAATGAATCAGAGAATGGGAGACCTCTATCTGTATCTCTTTCAAGTAAATTAAAAAAATGAAATATACAAGTCATGCACAACACGTAAGATGAAATAAATAGATGAGCAAATCAAAGGAGAGGGAACATAAGTCCAAGTCAAGTAAATCATGAAACAGCATAATGGAAGTAATTTATAGTTGCTAGAGGTAGGCTACAAGTTTGGTCTGAATTTCCCAGTAAAAAAAAATGGGACAACAGACACACTTGTGGTCCCTGTCTCTTGCCATGTATGGCCCTGTGCCATATTAGGACTCTGCCAGGGGGAGAGGTCCCTAAATCTTGCACCTTCAGAACCATTATGTGGAAGAGAACCCAACTGATTCAGGAGACATACACACAAGTTACATTAGGAATAGGCACCAGAGTGCCCCAGAAAAAAATCATAGGCAAGGGAGCAGAAATATCCTATCCTATGCTTCACTACCAGTATGAATGAGGAATGAAAAAATACAGAGGCCTCCCTCCAGTGGCTTGTGGTTATTTTTAACATACTGACTTTTGATCATTCTCAAAAGTTTTTTTTAATAGCTGAACTATTATGCCATATTAAGTCCTAACCCTGGCTTATAGCTCATGGCAGGTCCTACCTGGCCCAGTACTAGAGCTAGCTGACACCAGTCTGGGCCAGCCCAATTTTGGATGCTTTGGGTAGGTAGAATGGAACTTGTTTGTAGACAATGTCTAGAGGTGGGTCATATAGAAAGTCTACCTCTACCCCCGCTGTTTCAGTGTCTGGAACATAACAGGTACTCAATAAACATTTGCTGAATGGGGAAAAAAGAAACAGATTTTCAGTGTCCACCAGGTACAGGAAACCAATTGCTTTGGAGAAATGTAGCACTTTTTTTGTATTGAGACCTCTTCCAGGTCTTTATAATGGAGACAGAACACTATATGTGTGATAATAGCAGCTAATGTCCTCAACAACATTTCTAATATGAATTTAGAATCTAAATTTCCTAGGCTGCTTATGTGTTCCTTGGTGAAAACTGATAACATATTATTAATTTGAAATTTTAAAAAGTAATGAACCAACTCAAGATGATTTTCAAGGTACATGGCATTGTGCTGACCTGACTTGGCCAATGGTAAAATTTAGAAAACTTAGAAGACTTGATGGACTACTTATCCTTCAGTCAGTGTTTTATACATATATTTCTTTCACCTTATATTTGGGTAAGAATTGGACAGCAGAGAATTGTAAAGAAAGAACTTGGAATGCAACCAGAAATAGTTTATAGACATTAAGATACAAATTAGAAATATACAGGAGAGGAAGGCTATGAATTCTTTCAAAATTAGCTGAAGGTTATCTCAAGGGTTCCAAAGGGTAAAGAGCCAAAATCCTTTTAGCTCCAGGTTCAGATCAAACCTAGATTGGTAAATCATGAAGGCTTCCAGTCAACTTGAGTCCCTCGGGAGACCCTCCCCCACCCTGTTTACAGACTATTAAGTCAACTTTGAACTAGGACAGCTCTGAAACCAAGACTCTTCTCTCTTACACTCCTGGGGAATGGACAGGGCCATATTCTCCTCAGCTGCTACAAATTAACGTACCCATAGGCATGAGTAGTCAGTTGATCTATGTTCTATTGATCCCACATGCATGAAACATTGATAATAGGCAGTTTTCACTTTCTAACACACATATACAAAATCTTTGGGTTTATTTGAGCCTAAGTAGTTCTAAAAAAGTCCAAGATTTTGGTTGTATTAACCTATTTATACTCTTTAGTGTTTGCTGAAAAGTTCTCTTCATAGAGGGATTTAAAATTGTTAAGAGATTTTTACCAACATTGGCGTGGTACCCAGCTTCGTGTATCACTTACACTATTATTTATTTCCTATTCAGACTGACTTCTTAAATGTATTGCATGAAAATAAAATTCGTATGTTTTGTTTTAATTTAGAGACACAGAGAGGGAGCTCTTATCTGATGATTCACACCCCAAATGCCCACACTGGCCCCATGCCAGGAGCTGGTAACTCAATCCAGGATTCCTATGTGTGTGGCAGGAATCCAGTCATGTGAGCTATCACTTGCCACCTCTCTAGGTGCTCATCAGCAGGAAGCTGGAAGCAGGAGTGGAGCCTGGACCTGAACCCAGGCACTCTGATATGGGATATGAGCATCCTAACCACTAGGCCAAATGCCTGCTCCTCTAATACTATTTTAAATGGGGAAACAAACAAACAAACAAAAAACCTGTTCATAATAGAAGATAAACTTATAAGCATACAAAAAGAAACCAACAAAAGTTTAACGGCCTAGAAAGATGCTGAAGCTTGAAACTTGTTATATCTTTATTAGGAAGTGAGTTTAGCAAAGACATAGACTATTTTTAAAGAAAACCAGTGCTAAATTGAAATGCCCTCCTTGAGGCCATCAAATTTAAATGAATTAGGGAATAATTTTCTCACTGTGATTTATAGTATTTAATGCTGTGTTCCAACACATCCTAAATTTATTCATTACTAAAATTATCTTACCATCAAATTTTGGGAAGTTGTAATGTAATGGAAAAAGCAGAGTTGAGAGTTAGGTGCATGAATTGGAGGCGCTACTTTGGGACATTCCAGTTATTTGACCAAAACAAGTCATTTCGTTTCAGTTTTTTTTTTCTTTATATAAAACAACCATTAAAGGAGTGGGTGTTTAGTCTCACAGTTGATGCCAGAATCCCACATTGGAACCAATGGGATTAATTCCCAGCTCTGGCTCCTGACTCGAGCTTGTTGTCAGTGCAGACCCTGGGAGGTAGCTGTGATAGCTCAGTTAGATCCCTGCTACCCATGCGGAAGAACTGGATTGAGTCTGCAGCTCCTAGACTTGGCCTTGACCCAGCCCTAGCAATTGCAGGTATTTGGAGTGAAGCAGTAGATTGGAGAGCTCTCTCTCTCTCTCTCTTTCCCTCCCTGTCTCTCTACTCTCAAAAGAAAGATCAAAAACCAACCTTAACATATAGTAGAATATATTGAAAACTTAGCACGTGGCATAACCCTCACAGTGACTCTATGGAATAAATGTTACACAACCAGAAACAAGCTCATAGAAGCCAGGCTTCTGAGTCTGTAGTCAAAGCTCATTTCCTAGACTATGCTGTAAAATGGGAGTGCATTTTCCATCTCTAAATGCTGTGCTTTGAATCCAAACTTGTACTCTACTGTTAATTTGTTCAGTAACAAAGAAAGGTTCCAAAACAGGTTGAGAGATTTGTATTTCTGCATTTATCCCAGTAGGTGGCACCAACCCCATCAGGCTTCAAGTCTACAAGTGAGTGGTAATCAGGAACGTGAAATGCTGCAGGAGAGATTGGCCTTCTCCTGCCATCAGGACAAAATGTACCATATTTATATATCAAATGAAAGAAAAAAAAATCTATTGATGTTTTGTTCCACACTCTGTGGCACTAAAGTGTATTACTAGCAGCCTTGATTAGATTCTATTAAACTTGGTGTTCTGCTCTACAAGCTTTATCTATTATTCAACTCCCCGATCTACATTCCCTCCATTCCAGAAAGTCACTGCCCACCTCCTCCACAATGTTTGTTCAATACTGTTTTTTTTTTCTACCACAGATAAATCAGGCCATTGGGACATGGAATTCAAGAGGGGGTTGGGCAATTGCATAAGGTGGTGATTATCTGAAGTTTGAGTACTTAATAGTGTTTTTTTCATCTATTTTCAAAAGAATTGAATCTCACAAATCTGTCTTAGAGAAAAGGTGGAATGTAATTTTGGGCATATCTCCCAGCAAATCAGGGTACAAGTCCTTCTGGTCTAGGCACTTCCAAGTACAAGGAGAGTTTACCCAACTGCTTTTGGCCAAGAATCCCTCCTTCCACTGTCCTGTGTGCTGGTTGGCTGAGTTGCAGTGGTGTGATCTATTCATTCGGCAAAATACACTCCTGTGTTAATCTTACTGACTTTGTTATACTTCAAGCAATCCCTGCTTGCAAATTCCCATGAGGCCCAGGGTATAGCATTACCATTGTTTAGTAGACTGCCTCACCTAGTCTAGAAGAGGAAAACATTTTTCTGTTGTTTACACGCTGACGCAATCTTTCCTTTTGGTTTTTCAGGTTGCATTTGAAGGGCTTGTTTCCCCACCAGAGTAAAACTGTAATTTGAATCAGGGTAAATGGCACATATCCTTGGCTTCTGTAGAGTCAAGAGAACAATTTGTGACCTTTGGCAGTCACCTATCTTAGAGAGCACAGGCACCAAGCAGTCTCTAAATTCAGCTGAATTTTCCATGATACCTGCTGATGTTTAAAGGGATTTATCTTCGATAATAATATAACTGGTGATGTTTGATTTTGACAGTATTGCTTTCCTCCTCTTCCCACCCACCCCTCCCCTTCCCCTACACCACTGCCAAGCCCCACCTCTAAGCATTTCCTTGAACTCATTTTTTGAGAAGAACTTGAAGGTTGGATATGAATATTATGCTACATTTATAAATGGAGGTGAAAGCCCACTGAGGTGGGAAATGAATAGTCTTGAGATCTTATTTACTGTATAACTCTCTCTGTTCTGAAACCACGGCATTCCTCTCAGTTTTAACCTTTACTTCACTTCAGTATTACTCTGATGGCTGAAATACACTTCAGCAGGTGCTAGTGAAAGGAAAATAGTAGTGCTAGGC